GGGGTGGGGGTGGAAAGAAGATGAAGGCTTTGTGCAGAGAACTGCTGAGATCAGGCCTGAACCCCTCTCCTCTCCCCCTCCTCTCTTCCAGGTGTGTATTCACTCCTGCTTCCAGGAGAGCATGATCAAAGTGTGTGGCTGTGCCTACATCTTCTATCCGCGGCCCCAGAACGTGGAGTACTGTGACTACAAGAAGCACAGTTCTTGGGGTGAGAAAGCGAGCCCCTGCCCTGCCCCGCTGAGCGCAGCACTCACCGAGCCCAGGCGCTCCTTCCTGTCAGAGTAGTTTGTTTGTGGAATGACTCCCACCTGCCGGGAGGAATCCTCCCTCGCTCTGGTTTTTCAGCCTTTGCTCTCTGCCTCTGTCAGTTTCCCTCTCCCTCTGTCTCCCTCTTCTATCTCTGTTCCTCCCTCTCAGTGTTGCAGTCTCTCTGTTTTGGCCTTTGTGCATTTGTCAAGGAATTGCCCCATTTAAAAATAACCTGCAGCAGAAGGAAGGAAGAGCAGGTGAGAAAATCTCCAATGCTTCCTCACTGACTGCTAAGGTTTCAGTGCACACTCTGCCAACAGCTTCCCTGCTCCGTGCCCAGGGCGCTTAGCTGGGCAGGCTCTGGAGGCACTCGTGGGGTACACGACACTTCCTTGGGGCACAGGAAGAAAATATTAGAAGTTACATGGGTCTGTCTCATTCCTTCACATTTTCCATCTTACATGCTTTAGAATGGACATACTGTATCCATTCAATAGTAGAGGTATGCAATTTATAAATCAAATCCATGAGGGCCTGGCATGGTGACTCACGCCTGTAGTCCCAGCACTTTGGGAGGCCGAAGCGGTGGATCACAAAGCAGGAGTTCAAGATCAGCCTTGCCAAGATGGTGAAACCCCATCTCTACTAAAAATACAAAAAATTAGCCAGGCGTGGTGGCACATGCCTGTAATCCCAGCTACTCAGGAGGCTGAGATAGAAAATTTCTTAAAACTAGGAGGCAGAGGTTGCAGTGAGCTGAGACTGAGCCACTGCACTCCAGCCTGGGCAACAGAGTGAGACTCCGTCTCAAAAACAAAAACAAAAATCAAATACATGTATTGGACCTGCTTATTTAAGATATATATTTTTTAACCTGAACAAGGGCACAATCAAAGTTTGGAGCACCTTGGAATCTCCTCCTTATCCTGGTGTAGGAGTAGCAAATCTCTTTCCTTTCTACTACGGCTGAGTTGTTTGGCAGGGAAGCTGTGTGCCAGGAAGCTGAGAGAAAGAACATCACAAAAAGAAAATGCGGAAGCTCCAAGGGCTTTTATTCCTGGAGTGTGTGCTCTTCCCTGGCACAGCTGGCCCGTCCCCCCTGTGGTTCCTCCTCCCAGGGCTCTGCTGGGCCCAGCTGTCCCACAGGGTGGGCTGAGGGCCATCGAGGGAGGTGACAAGGTAACGGGCACTGGAGACACAGAGGCCCTCAAAAGCAGTGGATTGTCTCACCCCAGAGCTCAGCGTCCATGTCCATCCCTGCCTCGCTCCTGTGGTGACTGTTCTGCTTCTTTCCTGGGCTGGCTCCACAGTTTTCTTCTGCCTGGACTTTCCAATTGTGGCCTCCTGGTTCCTGTCTCTCTGACCTTAGAGGATTGTAGCACATCAGAACTGGGGGAAACCCAAAGGCCATCTGGCCTCACCTCCTTTCTCACATGAGCAAACTGAGGTCCAGAGGGAGGATGTGACACATCCCAGGGTATGCAGGACCAGGAGAGAGGGGACGTCACCCATCATTCCTCCCTGCCCTCAAATAATTATTTCTACGTTGTGGGTTTGCACAGATGTGAATGAAAAATAAGAATATTGATTGCTGAGGAGTCGTGAGGATGAGGGAGGAAGTAAGGCTGAAAGCACAGTCTGTTCATTTCCTAGGGCTTACTTCCCTGGGGAGGAGGGCCAGCTGCCTCCCCTTCTTCCTAAAGATCTCCAGCCCTGGTAGGGATTTGAGCCAGAAATGAAGAAGGACTTTGGACTGAGGAACTAAAAGTAGCAATAGTGACAAAATAACATTACTTAGAATTTGAGAAATGGGGGAGGAGGAGAATCTACAGTTCCATTATTTTATTTTTTGGTAACAGCTTTATTGAGAGAATTTTTATCCCATACAATTCACTCATTTAATGTGTACAACTTTATTTTAGTAAAATTTTAGTTTTTAGTTTTAGGTTTTAAGTACAGTCCCAGAGTTGCTCAATCATCACCACAATCCATTTTGGAATATTTTTGGTGTGCCCAAAAGAAACCACGTACTTGCTCAGGCCGGGCGCGGTGGCTTGCGCCTGTAATCCCAGCACTTTGAGAGGCCAAGGTGGGCAGATCATGTGAGCCCGGGAGTTTGACACCAGCCTGGCCAACATGACGAAACCCTGTCTTTACTAAAAATACAAAAATTAGCTGGGCATGGTGGTACCTACCTGTAATCCCAGCAACTTGGGAGGCTGAGAGAATCACCTGAGCCCAGGAGGTCGAGGCTGCAGTGAGCCATGGTCAGGCCACTGCATACCAGCCTGGGTGATGGAGTGAGATCCTGTCTCAAAAAAATAAATAAATAATCTTTTTACTTATTAGCAGTTCCCAAGATTCCCTCCCCTCCTTCACCACTGCCAGCCCGAGGGCAATCACAATTCTTTCTTTCTCTGTGGATTTGCCTATTCTGTTCTGAATCTTTTTCTTTCTTTCTTTCTTTCTTTCTTTCTTTCTTTCTTTCTTTCTTTCTTTCTTTCTTTCTTTCTTTCTTTCTTTCTTTCTTTCTTTCTTCTTTCTTTCTTTCTTTTTTAATTGAGATGAAGTCTCATTCTGTTGCCTAGGCTGGAGTGCAATGGCGCGATCTCGGCTCACTGCAACCTCCAACTACCGGGTTCCAGCAATTCTCCTGCCTCAGCCTCCCGAGTAGCTGGGACTACAGGTGCCTGCCATCATGCCCAGATAATTTTTGTATTTTTTAGTAGAGAGGGGTTTCACCATATTGACCAGGCTTGTCTTGAACTCCTGACCTCATGATCCACCCACCTCAGCCTCCCAAAGTGCTGGGATTACAGGCATGAGCCACCACACTCAGCCTTTTTTTTCTCTGAGAGAGTCTCGCTCTGTCACCCAGGAGTACAATGGCATGGTCTCAGCTCACTGGAGCCTCCACCTCCCAGTTTCAAGTGATTCTCCTGCCTCAGCCTCCCAAGTAGCTGGGATTACAGGCGCCTGCTACCACACTCAGTTAATTTTTCTATTTTTAGTAGAGACTGGGTTTCACTGTGTTAACCAGGCTGGTCTTGACCTCATGATCCGCCCACCTCGGCCTCCCAAAGTGCTGAGATTACAGGAGTGAGCCACCACGACTGGCCTTATTCTGAATCTTTCATATAGACAGAATCTTAGAACATGTGATCTTTGTGTCTACCTTATTTCACTTAGCGTAATATTTTCAATGTTCATCTGTATTGTAGCAACAGCAGTGCTTCGTGCCTTTGTATAGCTGAATAACAAAACTCCCTTGTATGGACAGACCACTCTTTGCTTACCCATTTATCAGTTAGTGGACATTTATGCTGCTCCTACTTTTTGGTTATTGTGAATAATGCTGCTGTGAGCATTTGTATACACGTTTTTGTGTGGACACATGTTTTCCATGTTCTTGGCTATACACCTAGGAGTGGAATTGCTGGGTCATATGGTAATCTATATTTAACCTTTTTGAGGAGCTGCCAGGCTATTTTCCAAAGCGACCTCACCATTGTGTATTCCTAGCAGCAGTGTAAGAAGGTTCCAGTTTCTCCACATCCTGCCAGTTCTTGTTATTTGTCTTTCTTAATTTTAATTTTATTTTTTTTGAGACAGTCTCACTCTGTTGCCCAGGCTGGAGTGCAGTGGTATAATCTTGGCTCACTGCAACCTCTGCCTCCTGGGTTCAAGTGATCCTCCTGCCTCAGCCTCCTCAGGAGCTGGGACTGCAGGTGTGCGCCACCATGCCTAACTAATTTTTGTATTTTTAGTAGAGACAGGGTTTTACCATGTTGGCCAGGCTGGTCTCGAACTCCTGACCTCAGGTGATCCACCCACCTTGGCCTGCCAAAGTACTGGGATTACAGGCATGAGCCACCACGCCTGGCTTATTGTCTTTTTTAAAATAATAGACATCTTAGTGGGCATGAAGTGGTATCTCATTGTGGTTTAATTCCCTTATTCTCATACAATGATTGTTCCCATTTTTCTTTATGGCTTTTAAGTTTTTGTCCACAGTCTATATTTCCTTACACTGGTGTATCCTGTTTTGTTTTTCCCCAGACTTAGCTTATTTTCTTTCTTTATTAATTTCTATTTTATTCTTTAGAGAAAAGGTCTCACTCTGTTGCCAGGGTTGGAATGCAAAGGCACAATCATAGCTCACTTGCAACTCCTGGGCTCAAACGACCCTCCCACCTCAGCCTCCCAAAGTGCTGAACCGCTGTCCCTGGACTAGCTTAATTTCTTCTTCTTCTTTCTTCTTTCTCCTTTCTTCTTCTTCTTCTTCTTCTCCTTCTCCTTCTTCCTCTTCTTCTTCTTCTTCTTCTCCTTCTCCTCTTCTTCTTCTCCTTCTTCTTCTTCCTTCCTCCTCCTCCTCCTCCTCCTCCTCCTCCTTCCTTTTCTTCCTCTTCTTTGCTTCTCTCTTTTCCTTCTTCGACAGAGTTTCACTCTTATTGCCCAGGATGGAGTGCAATGGTGCAATCTCAGCTCACTGCAACCTTTGCCTCCTAGGTTCAAGCGATTCTCTGTCTCAGCCTCCTGAGTAGCTGGGATTACAGGTGCACACCACCACACACACCTAACTAATTTTTGTATTTTTAGTAGAGACAGGGTTTCATCCTGTTGGCCAAGTTGTTCTCGAACTCCTGACCTCAGGTGATCCACCTACCTTGGCCTCCCACAGTGCTGGGATTACAGGCGTGAACCACCATGCCCGGATAGCTTAATTTCTTTCTTTCTTTTTTTTTTTTTTTAAATATATTTTATTGCATTTTAGGTTTGGGGGTACATGTGAAGGACATGCAAGATTATTGCATAGGTACATATGTGGCAGCGTGATTTGCTGCCTTCCTCCCCATCACCCATATTTGGCATTTCTCCCCATGCTATCTCTCCCCAACTCCCCACCCCCCACTCTCCCTCCCCTATTTCCCCGCAACAGACCCCAGTGTGTAGTGCTCCCCTCCCTGTGTCCATGTGTTCTCATTGTTCAACACCTGCCTATGAGTGAGAACATGCGGTGTTTGATCTTCTACTCTTGTGTCAGTTTGCTGAGAATGATGGTTTCCAGGTTCATCCATGTCCCTACAAAGGACCCAAACTCATCGTTTTTGATGGCTGCATAATATTCCATGGTGTATATGTGCCACATTTTCCCTGTCCAGTCTATCATCAATGGGCATTTGGGTTGGTTCCAGGTCTTTGCTATTGTAAACAGTGCTGCAATGAACATTCGTGTGCACGTGTCCTTATAATCCTTTGGGTATATACCCAGTAATGGGATTGCTGGGTCAAATGGAATTTCTGTTTCTAGATCCTTGAGGAATCGCCACACTGTCTTTCTTCCACAATGGTTGAACTGATTTACACTCCCACCAACAGTGTAAAAGTGTTCCTATTTCTCCACATCCTCTCCAGCATGTGTTGTCTCCAGATTTTTTAATGATCGCCATTCTAACTGGCGTGAGATGGTATCTAAATGTAGTTTTGATTTGCATTTCTCTGATGACCAGTGATGATGAGCATTTTTTCATATGTTTGTTGGCCTTATGTATGTCTTCTTTTGTAAAGTGTCTGTTCATATCCTTCACCCACTTTTGAATGGGCTTGTTTTTTTCTTGTAAATCTGTTTTAGTTCTTTGTGAATTCTGGCTATCAGCCCTTTGTCAGATGGGTAAACTGCAAAAAGTTTTTCCCATTCTGTTGGTTGCTGATTCACTCTAATGACTGTTTCTTTTAAAGTGCAGAATCTGTGGAGTTTGATTAGGTCCCAATTGTCTATGTTGGCTTTTGTTGCCAATAGCTTAATTTCTTAAACACTTTCTGGTACTGCCAGTCATAAGACACTTCTTGGTACTGCTACTCATAAGGCATCATTGTAATGCTAACTAATGCTCTTGTAAAGTGGGTACTCAGAGATCTGGGGAGACCTCTTGGGTGTGGGGCGGAGGAAGTTGAGGTGCCCTAGGAAAGCGGGCATTTCTTTGTACCCACAGGCTACTGCTACTATAAGCTCCAGGCTGACTTTTCCTCGGACCACCTGGGCTGTTTCACCAAGTGCCGGAAGCCATGCAGGTGAGCGTCCCTTGCCGAGGGTACAGGTTGGATACGATACAGGTTACCCAGCCCAACCTTTGAGTGGGAGAGCTCTGCCCCCAACACTGAGCACCTTTTTCCATCCCCAGTGTGACCAGCTACCAGCTCTCTGCTGGTTACTCACGATGGCCCTCGGTGACATCCCAGGTAGAGTGTGGGGAAGGGACGGGTCGGGGATGTGTGTACCCACGTAATGCTGTGGCCTTCTCTGGGTATATGTATGAGTGTGTTTGACACAACCCTATCCCTGTAAGCCTGAAGAGTATGGGATGACCTTGATGACACCCCATTCTTTCCTAGGAATGGGTCTTCCAGATGCTATCCCGGCAGAACAATTACACCGTCAACAACAAGAGGTCAGTCCTGCCCTGGTCCCAGCCGCAGGAAAGGGATCTTTGGGAGGGAAAATAGATCTAGGAAGAGGGGTCGATATGGCTGATTAGACGAAGGTCCAGGAAGCTCATCCTCTGCCATTTCTTCCTGCCCTCTGACCCACACCTAAGGAATGGAGTGGCCAAAGTCAACATCTTCTTCAAGGAGCTGAACTACAAAACCAATTCTGAGTCTCCCTCTGTCACGGTGGGTCCTGCCTGGATGGAACCTGTGATGCTCTGGGGGTCTGTCTTAGCAGGGCAGCTGTCAGGGAAACCCAAAAGATTGTCTCTGTGGGGTCAGAAGGCTCTGGGTCTCCGAGGCAGGGGATCAAAGAAGAGGGTAGGGGGGAGTTAGGGAGGGTTGAACAAAGGAGCTGAGCCAGGGCATAATGTCTGCGGGGATGGTGGGAGGGACAGGCATACCAGATGCTGGGGGGAAGGTGCTCGAGCCATGTCCCCATTGCAGCTGCCCCTGACTGTGGGGCCAGTTCTCAGTTTTCTCTGGGTGACACTGGCCAGGAGCAGAGACAAGGAGCCCAGGGGGCCGCTGCGAGGCTGAGGACTCGGGCATCCTCAGGGATGAGGGGAAACAGCTTGGTGAGGAGGGATGGGGGCTCCTCTGCCAGAGCCTGCCCAGAGCCCTCTGCCCCGTCATCAGTGTGCCTCTCCTCTCACAGATGGTCACCCTCCTGTCCAACTTGGGCAGCCAGTGGAGCCTGTGGTTCGGCTCCTCGGTGCTGTCTGTGGTGGAGATGGCTGAGCTCATCTTTGATCTGCTGGTCATCACGTTCCTCATGCTGCTCCGAAGGTTCCGAAGCCGATACTGGTCTCCAGGCCGAGGGGGCAGGGGTGCTCAGGAGGTGGCCTCCACCCCGGCATCCTCCCTCCCCTCCCACTTCTGCCCCCACCCCACGTCTCTGTCCTTGTCCCAGCCGGGCCTTGCTCCCTCCCCAGCCTTGACAGCCCCTCCCCCTGCCTATGCCACCCTGGGTCCCTGCCCATCTCCAGGGGGCATCACAGGGGCCAGCTCCTCTGCCTGTCCTCTGGGGGGGCCCTGAGAGAGGAGAGGTTCCTCCCACCAAGGCAGATGCTCCCCTGGTGGGAGGGGCTGGCCTTGGAGGACTGAAGGATGTGCAGGGCTTCCACTCAGAGCAGCCCAAACTGTCTTTGATGTGTGGAGGGGAAGGAGGTGGGTAAGGGGTTCAGGAAATTGCTCCAAGAACAGTGGCATGAAGCTGCCCAGAAATGCCTTGGCCCTAGCTCCATGCCCCTTGGAACTGGCTCTGAGCACTCTGGTTTCCCCACTCAACTGCAGACAAGTCTCCTTTTCCCTTGAATCAGCCAAGCCAAACTTGGAGCTTTGACAAGGAACTTTCCTAAGAAATGACTGATGACCAGAGCAAAACACAGCCAAGGGTACACTCGGGCATGCACTGGTTTCCTGCCCAGCAATGGCTAAAGCCAGCCCCTGATTGGCCTGGCCACACTGCTCTCCAGTGACACAGATGTCTGCTTCTCCTCTTGAACTTGGGTGGGAAACCCCGCCCAAAAGCCCCTTTGTTATTTCTTAGGCCGTTCTCCTTCCCTGACTCCCCAGGCGAGGGCTGGAGCAGACCCATGTAGTAAAGGCAGCCCCAGGGCTCCTCTAGCCTCATATCCATGCCCTCACAGAGCCATGCCCTGGTGTCTCTGCCCTGTGTCTTTCATATCTCGAGTCTGCTCAGGATATTTCCTCAGCCTGAAAGCTTCAACAACCATCTGCCAGAGAACTGCTGTGTATCCCTCAGAACCCTGCCCAGACACCATTTTTTTGTGAAGGCTTCCGTCCCATCTTGTCTTTCCCAGAATTGATCGCTGCCCCTTCTCCTGGGCTTCTATAGCATGCTGTGTCATCTGCTGGAGTGCTGCTGTTGTGTCAGACTTGTGCATTTGTGTCTGCCTCCCCAACAGACTATCAGGGCCTTGTGGTCAGGGACTGAATCTTGCCCATTGACATATGCTCCACGTCTAGCCCATCGTCCTGCTTGGAGCAAGTAGGCAGGTGCTCAATAAATGTTTGTTGCATAAAGGAATGTCTGAGGAGCTGGATGGGTCACGATGAACGGCGCAGGGAGTGGATACAAGTCACCGCCCAAGCTTCTGGGTGGTCCCAGGGTTGGGGGAGGCTATGGACTCTCATGCCCTTGGCTGCACCATGGAAGTGACCATTCTTCATGGGGTCTTAAGAGGGACAAATGTTCTGATGAATTCCTCCATGGGTGTTGCTGCTATGTGCCTGTGGCCACGTTAGGGTGCCGCCCCCTCAGGGGACCTATCTGACAGTGTTTGGGGAGACTTGCCCTGTCCAGTGTCTGAACCTCCTTTTCCTTCTCTGCTGTAGACACCATCATCAGTAACACCCCCCACCCTCCACCCCCCCACCCCCGCCGTGCTGACTCCATTTGCTGAGTCTCACTCACCACCCGGCGACAATGAACCCTCATCCGCCCACCCCCCATCAGCCGCCTGGTGGTGGTGGAGGATGATGAGGCTCAGCCCAGTTTCTCCTGGAACTGCAAAGCCTTATACGGTCTTATTCATACATGATTGCAGAGAGGGGCACTGGGAACCTTCCCAGCGTTAGTAAAGGAGAGACTGCGGTCCTGGGAGGGGCTGAAGGATGTGTGAGTGGAACCCCAGCTCTCTGATCCTGGTTTCTCCCCAACTCCAGCGTAAGACCTGGAATCCAGAAACGGCCCTTTCTCACCATCTTTGGGGACTCTGTCCCTGCCACCTTAGTCTTGTTCATCTTTTCTTTTCTTTTTTTTTTTGAGACAGAGTCTCACTCTGTCGCCCAGGCTGGAGTACAGTGGCGTGATCTTGGCTCACTGCAACCTCCGTCTCCCAGGTTCAAGCGATTCTCCTGCCTCAGCCTCCTGAGAAACCGGGATTACAGGTGCGCACCACCACGCCTGGCTATTTTCTTTTAAAAAAAAATTTTTTTTTTTTTTTTTTGAGACGGAGTTTCGCTCTTGTTACCCAGGCTGGAGTGCAATGGCGCGATCTCGGCTCACCGCAACCTCCGCGTCCTGGGTTCAGGCAATTCTCCTGCCCCAGCCTCCTGAGTAGCTGGGATTACAGGCACGCGCCACCATGCCCAGCTGATTTTTTGTATTTTTAGTAGAGACGGGGTTTCACCATGTTGACCAGGATGGTCTCGATCTCTTGACCTCGTGATCCACCCGCCTCGGCCTCCCAAAGTGCTGGGATTACACATGTGAGCTACCATGCCCAGCCTAGTCTTATTCATCTTAATTACAGTCTCCCTGTTCTGGAGAGCCAAAGAAGAAAGGGACTCGGGGAAAGAGGAGAAGGAGCTGGTGATGGGTGGGAAGGTAGGCAGTGTCGTGACCTGAAACGGTGTGACAACTGCTGACTTCCCTTTCCTAGATCTGAGCTGACGAAGGGGAAACGGTGTTGCCTCAGCAGTCCCCTCCGTCAGAGCCCTCAGGCACAGACTGCCCTTAGGCACAGACCGCCCTTGTCTGCCCCCTCAGCCTCAGCCTTGGTCCGCCTGGTCCCCAGCGCCCTCTCCTCTGGCTGATACAGGAGGACCTGCCAGACACAGCCAGGTGTACCACGGCTGACTGCACCCATCTCCCCCAGGATCCTGCTTCTCCTGCCTCCTGCTTTTTTTTCCCCAGAGCTGTCTCCTTACCTTCTCTTGTCTGTGGGTTACTCCTGGACCCTGGGATTAGAAGGTGGAATCAGGCTGTTAGCAATAAAAGGGTTTCAGTTGACTTATTTTCCTTATCAGGCTTAGTAAGTGAAGTGACTTGCTAAGGTTCATAATTCTTACAAAACCAGCCATGAACCCAGGTCCCTTTCTGACTCACCCTGCCATGCTGTGACACATGCAGTCTAAATGGCAGGGCTGGGGCAAGAACCCACGTCACCTGCACTTGGAGTCCAGTGACCCTTTGGGTTAAGCATGTGCCTGTGTGTGTGTGTGTGTGTGTGTGTGTGTGTGTGTGTGTGTGTGTGTTTCGTGATGGGGGAGGAAGGTCACTGCTATCGGCAGCTGTTTTCTTCATCCTTTGTTCTGCAAACCCTAACAGCTGATTCTGTCCTTCCTCATCTGCCCCTCTCCTGTTTCTGCATCTCCTCTGATCATGATTTTTTTCTATCCCTGAAGGGATGACGGTCTCATTCTCACCTCCTCCACAAAACGTACCAGTTTTTCATATCCCTAGATCCACCCACTTCTCACTGTCTTTTCTTTTTTTTTTTTCTTTTTTCTTTTTTTTTTT